TGCTTACCAGTCAGGACCCTTTCATTAGCCTATACTAAAACCACATTTAAAAAGCCAAACCGAAAAGGCATTTTACTGACTCGTGTAGCTGAAAAGTCTAGATGTCAATTTGAGAAATGGATCAGGGGGCTCAATAATGTTATCAGGATGTGAAGTTCATTCTCATTCTGTTTCTCCCTGCCTTCTCACCCTATTCACCCCAACTCTCTCCTACATACTCCATATCCCCCCCTCTTTCTTTTGTTCATTTTATCTTACTTCTGTTTTCCTTTGGGTTGGTTTCAATTCACTTTCAAGATCTTTCCAAGTACAAAATGTCAGTATCCAAGGTTAGCACTCCCAAAAAGGTGTGTCTTCCACCAGACTGGGTCACGTATCTTCAAGGTGATAATTGTTATCTATTGTATCTGGCCAGATGTAGGCCACATACAAATCCTGGAATTATTCAATCTTCTTTCAAAGTGGGAGGTTTATGCACCTACAAAAAAAAAAAAAATTAGGGCCATAAATAATTAAAAGTCACTTCATAGACTATATAAGATAAAGGTCATGGTTAATTGTTGTTTTCATATACTATCTTCATATGCTATGAACAGAAAATTCAAATTTTAATAATAGATTAAAATATTTTAAAATAGCCTTGATTTTACATATTACTATATAGAGAGTATAGGAGAAGTGTTACAGGAGAAAAAGAATGCTAGAAAAAAAGGAACAGAAAGGGAAAGACCATGGATGGATGAAGAGACAGCAGAGCAGGAGGAAGAAAGGCAGTCACAGAGAAGAGACTTACCAAAGAAGCGGAGTGAGGAACTACAGTGAAAACTCCACCTTCCAATCCCTATGCATAAAAATGAAGGAAAAGGCTCAGCTGGTGGTGTGGTGGTTGAGGTGGCTAGATCCCACATGGCGGCCTGCACAGTTTGAGTCCTGGACCCAAAGACTTGAAACACACACCAGGAGCATGTGCTTGCATGCTCAAAATCCCCAAAGGAGGGAGAAATAGAAGAGAAAGGACTGTGGCAAAACCGTCTCCCACGAGGATTGGAGAGGGGGGTGCTTCCTCACTCTCCCTTTGTCTCTGTTTTTTTTTTCAATGAGTCCACATACCCTCTGGCAACATTTTTTAAGAAAACTAAAAATCAAAGAAAAACAAAGAGAGGATAATGAAAGTTTGGTCACATGGGAAAAAATAATCTTGGACAAAATAAAAAGGAAAATAGCAATTTAAGACATTGTTAACCAGAATTATATAAGAATAATATCTGATACATAGTTGGTTTGTTGAATGAATAAAACCTTGCATTTTTAATATAGAAGGGCATTTGAAAAAAAATTAGCAAAAAATCATCGAAGACCGTGGTCAAGAGAAATATAAAGGGGACCAGCAGTCGGCGTAACGGCTATGTCGCTGAACTCCCATGTAGTCAACCCTGGTTCAAGTCCCAGACCCAATGGCTTAAACTCATGCCTGGCGTGTGTGCGTGCGTGCCCAAGATCCTGAGAGGAGAATGGAGGAGAAGGGATTGCAGAATGGCCATCCTCCCGGGGGGTGATTTCTTGCTTTCTATCTCTTTGTCTGTCTCTGTCTTTCTGGCGAGCACATGCACCCTATAGCAAAAACCTCTAAAAAAACAAAAACAAACAAACAAAAAAACCAGAAAGAAATATAAAGGATTGACACACATGTGAAAACAAAAGTGAAATGTTACTGAATCCAGAATGCAAAAGAAATCAATGAGATATTTTTACCTCACCATTGCTAGTGGGAATGTGAATTTGTTCTTTCTCAGAAGACAGTTTTATATTGTATTGCTTCCTTCCTCCTACAGAACAAACACCTTTAAGATTTTGGTGGGACCCCAAAATAAGCATTTATTTCTCATGGAATAAGTTTCCACTGGGATGGTTCTACGTCTTACTGAAATTCTGGCAGGGCCGGGTCTCTTCCATGTATCTTCCATTTTTCTACTAAAACCAGAAGGCTTGCCAGGGCAAGTTTGTCTCATGACAATGGCAGCAGTGCAAGAAGGCAAGTAGAAATGTGCTCAACCTTTCAGGACCCGGGCTTAGATCTGAAGCAGTTAAGCAGATTGGAACTGGCACAGACCATAGCCAAGACACAAGACACCTGTGGTCTATGCCAGTCACAAGCCAAGTCATAAGACAAACTCCAAGGAGCAGGGATAGACATATGTCCCACACAAACCAGAACCACCTCAAGGTTATAGGTTCAGTGGAGGAGGAAGTGGGCCCAATACTCAGCCTTCCACAGGTGTTTTTCTGGAAAACTTTAGTAATAGTTCAGGACTCTCAGGTGAGTAACCCAATACCGAGTCCCACTTGAGTCTGATGTTTTGTCTTCCTCTTAGGCTGTTGTGTTTTGAATGCTCTGAAATGAGGCGTGTGCTGGCCAGTATTTATCAAGGGCTGTGCCTCTCCAGTTCGCTGCTTTATGGGGACTTGCCTTCGCCCTGAAAGCATTTGAGCTTGAGTTCCCTGATACCTAATTATACTACTTCACCATTCTTCCTAATTTTGAAAAATTATAAATTCATCAAGTAGACAAATTAAGATTCAGATACAATAAACATTATATAGCTAAAAATTGGTCTTGTAGATTACATTTCATAACATTTAGAAATTGTTTCAGTAAAATAATGAAAAATACCACAATTTACAGTTATATATAATTATGTGTTCAATTTTATAAGTAAATAATATATGTAAATATTATTAAAAAGAGACTGATAGAATAGGCAAGCAGTGACACAGCAGTAACATCACACTCTGCGAGGCTGACCCACACAAGAAGGTTCTGGGTTCGTGTCCAGGGACCTCTCTAAACATGCTAGCCATGCATGTGTCTATGATTTAGGGGTGACTAAAGCTGGAAGTGAATCACACATGAAGATACTGTTGGGGTGCCCCTCTCTGACTTGCTCATGAAAAAAAATAGAGAAGAGAGGTAAAAAGCAAAATCGAAATATTATAAAACCATCTCTGAACAGTAAGATAATAACAATGGTGTTTTCCTTTGTAACTTTCTGCATTTGATCAATTTCTCACATAAATACTACTTTTATCATGTGAAAACATACATATATAATAGTGGTTAAAGCTCTGAACTCACACGTGGCTGATCACAGTTTGAGTTCCTGACCTGGTGACTTGCATTCTCACTTTCCCTCCCTCTCTCTCTGATGGTGCATGTGCCCTATAGAAAATTTAAAATAATGGGAACCAGCAGTTAGCGTAATGGCTATGTCACTGGACTCCCACGTAGTCGACCGCGGTTCGTGTCCCGGACCCGGTGGCTTAAAACTCACACCGGGCACGTATGCATGCTTGCCCAAGATCCCAAGAGGAGAATGGAGGAGAAGGGATTGCGGCGTGACCATCCCCCCTGGGGGGTGATTTCTCGCTTTCTGTCTCTGTGTCTCTCTCTGTCTGTCTGGTGAGCGCACGCGCCCTGTAGCGAAAAAAAAAATCTCTCCAAA